CACGGCACCAGCTGGCAGCTTTGGGGACGCTGGCGATTAGGTGAGGGAGATGCTGGAGAGACGGGCACAGGCAGCTGGGCCGAGCTGTCCACCACCCGGGTGCCAGCATTCCGACTCTCTCACACTGTGATGATTAAAACGGCAGACAGGATTTTCCAAGCGTCCATTTCTGGACTGGATGGGCCCATATGTTGACTTGTCTCTAATTCCCATAAGAGGCACGATTTGCTATATTGGATACAAGAGGAAGCTGGCACTCAGAAAGGTGGAGTCACTTGCTTGAGGTCACCTGGCTGGTTGACAGGGGGGCCCAGATCCAAACCCAGGTCTGCGCAACTCCAGGGGCCATCCCTCTGGGTAGGGTCCATCTATTCCCAGCAGCATCAGGAGCATCCCGTCTGCTAGTTATGGAGCACTAACTCTGTACAGGGCGCGATCTAAAGCTTATGCTATGAAGGACTGAGGCTGGACGCTCATGACAAAGGAAGAACTTGGGGCTCCCCAAAGGGGTATCATTTACCCAATGTCAAGGGCTTGCCAGGTGGGAGGCGAAATCTGAACCCAATCATAACCTGCTGAGATACTGATGGGCCTGCAACCCTCTCTCGAGGAGGCAGAGCTGGGCTGGTGCCCACAGAGTCAGGGGAAGAGGGCTGGGAGGAGGTGGCGGCTGGGCCGAGGCAGGACCAGGACTGTGAGGGACATCTGTGTCTTAGAACAAGCCCACGGCCTCCACCTCAGACAGGCTGGGCCCCTCAGACAGGATATCCTGTCTCCCTGCTGCGTATCCTCAGCTTCTCCAGGGTCCTGCTTTTCAAACGTGTCCTCCGGTGCCCACTGGACCGGGGTCAGCCCTGCCTTCCAGGCCTCTCAGCTGTTCCTGCCGCGTCTCCCCACCCATCTCATTGCCCCAGCAGATTCAATTAACCAATTTGATGCTCCAGCTGCAGAAAGCCAAGTAATTATGGAAAACAGACCAGGTGCCTTGGAACTTGCTCTCACAGTGGGGCCTGGGAGGCCTCCAAACAGACAGCAAGCTGGGAGGGAGGCAGAGCCATCTAGGCCAAGGCTGGCCAGCCCAGCCTGCATAAGAGAGCTATCTGGCCAGCTCCGACAAATACAGATGCTCCCCAAAGAGCAAAACAAAAGCAGAGACCCAGGCTGGTTCTGTTACTATGGGCTGGAGCTTGGTCATCAGGATTTTTAAAAAGTCTTTGTCCCATTTTCTGTTGCTATAATAAAATACCTGAGGCTGGGAAATTTATTAAGAAGAAAGGTTCATTTGGCTCCTACCTGGGTTTTTTTGATCTTTCCAAACTGAAACTGTGTACCCAATAAGCAATAACTCCCTATGCCTCCCCTCCCATCCCCTAAGGACCTTCATTCTATTCTCTATGATTGTGACTACTCTGCATACTTCAAATAGATGAAATCATGCACTGTGAGTCCTTTAATGACCGCCCATCTTCAATGTTTTTCCATATTGAGGCAGGTGACGGATTTTCCTTCTTTTTTAAGGCTGAGTAATATTCCACTGTATGGACAGACCACAGTTTCTTTTTCCATTCATTCCTGCTTGGACACTTGGGTATTTTGCCCCATTTAGTTATTGTGAATAATGCTGCTGTGAACATTGGTATACAAATATCTGTCCGTGCTTTGAATTCCTTTGCACATATACCTAGACACAGAATCGCTACATCATATGACAATTCCATTTCTAATATTTTGAAGTATCGCCATTCAGTTTCTTTCTTTCCTCCTTCTCCTTCCTTCCCTCCCTCCCTTTCTTCCTTCCAAAGTGGCCCAAAGACCTCCGGGGCCAGCTCCACTTTCCTTGGGTTCTGTAAACCTTCCTGCATTTCCCAGAAGGACTCTGGACCACACGTTGCTATCTCAGGAGTCAAAAAGTAAATACTCCCCTTTCTTTTCTTTTCTGTCTTCCTTTAAAAAAAAAAAAAACAACCCTCAGTTGCAGAAATCACCTAATTGAAAGTTGCAGGAGAAGAACCCTCCTCCCCACAGGGAAAAGGGAACTATTCAGAAAGCCCAGCCTAGCAGCTAATTGCCGGTTTGTATTGGGGATTCTTGGCAAATGCTTAAATTGCAGATCAACCTGACTTTTGTGATGAAGTGTTTGGAAACACACAAGGGGGCTGGGTTTGAGATCCTCAGCCTGGAGGTGACAGTGCCGCTTTCTCTGCTGACAAATAAAGCAAGTTAGAATCTTGTGGATTTGCATTCAGGAGAGCGGCAGCTTTGCCTGGATTTCTACAGGCTGCATCCCCATTTCCTCTATTATCCCAGCCAGTGGCCTGTATATAAAATGCCAGCCAGCCGTGATTCCTACTCACACGGTGGCTCTGAACCCTGACTGAACATCAGAAATATCTGGGTGCCTTAAAAATACATTTACATATGTCGGGCACAGTGTTGCACACCTGTCATCCCAGCAGCTCGGGAGGCTGAGGCAGGAGGATGGCGAGTTCAAAGCCAGCCTCGGCAACTTAGTGAGGCCCTGAGCAACTCAGTGAGACTCTGTCCCTCAGGAGGCTGAGGCAGGAGGATTGCAAAGCCAGCCTCAGCAACTTAGTGAGGCCCTGTTTCAAAATAAAATATAAAAAAGGACCAGGATGTGGCTCAGTGGTTAAGCGCCCCTCAGTTCAATCTCCAGTCCCCCACAGAAAAGTTGTGAGAGTGCTCACTCTGTGCTAGGGACAGCGCCCTGCACTGTGTGTGTGCTGATCTTGTGGATCTACCTAGTGTTCCTTAGAGGGGTCCTTGTTATTCCCGTTTCACAGATGAGAAAAACCTAAGCACACAGACTAGCCGAGGGCCACCAAGGTGACTGAGTGGCAAAGTTGGGACCCAGGCTGGATCTCCAGCCTGTGCACTCAACCCCTGACCTTCTGGTCCTTGGGCCTTGTACACCTTTCTGTCATGTCACTCAATCTAACAAGCATGTGCTGCTTTTGTCGTAAAATTTTAGGTGAAATATGGAAGTGTTGGGGCTCCCAGGGTCCTCTGAGGTCCCCTCTTCGTCCAAGCAGGCCACAGGAAGTCTTTTATACCAGTCCAGGTTGGGAATAGATATTCACGCCTTGATCTGCATTTGGTTCAACCTCGGCCTGCTCGCCTGCCACTCAGGGACTGGACAGTCACTGATCTGTCGGGGCCTGACACCTTGGAGGGGGCGGCCCTGGTCTGTAACAGCAGCTGTCACAGGCTGCACCAGTGAGGATCGTGAGATCTGCACAGGGCAGGCAGCGCTTCATTAGCCACAGACTCCAAGCCACAGGCCCTGAGATGGTCCAAAACCAACGGGCCCATGGGGGGCCTCTGAGGATGGACACGTGCAATACAGGAAGTGTAACCAGCTTGTGCAGAGGGAGCCTTGCACGAGGGTTCTTCAGCCCTGAGCTCATGGGAGACCTGGGGCCAAGGATTCTAGACTAGATCTAAGCAGAGAGCTTCCATGTGCCCCGAGAAGGACTCCTGAAGGGGTGACATTGGGTCCCCAATGCCAGCCCTACCAGGTGCTGGAGGAAATGCAGACCTTTGACCTGTCGAGCTGGCAAGACCAGAGCTTGAATCCTCTCTCTCTTTCTTCACTTGAGAGCTTGGAAGGGCTGCGTAGCCTGAGTCACTAGACCTGTAACCTGAGGACGATAATAGTGACTGACTGACAGGGCGGGTCATGGTGAATATCAGCCGTGATATAGGGAAGTACCTACTGTGATAAGGACACATGGAATGATACTGTGACTTTCACTGACTCCGATCCCACATGCGCACGGTTTCTGAGACAGCTCCCACTGACCCCTACCTCACACCATTTTTACTCTTGTGAAATCCCTTCCTCTTGAATGTGGGCTGGACCCAGCGAGTTGCTCTCATGAATAGAACTGGGCGAGAGTGATAGTATGTTACTTCCAGTATCAGATGACAAAAGATTCCTCCTTTCCCTCTGTCGCTCCTTCACGTGACCACCACAATGGAAGCCGTCTGCCATGCCGTGAACTGCCCCATGGAGCCGTCCATGCGGCAAGGAATCGAGGAAGATCACCGGCCAACCACCGGGAAGGGACCGAGTCCCCCAATCCAACAGCCTGCAGGGAACTGAGTCCTGCCAACCACTACAAGAGAGCGCTCGAGCACAGACCCTCACGATGAATCCAACCACACATATGATTATGCTGCACCAATAAATACATAAACAAATAACAACAATAAAAAAGACAACAGAGCTTCCCTGGTTGGGCCTTCAGATGAGCCTGCAGCCCCAGCCAACTCCCTGACTGCCGCCTTGTCAGAGATGCTCACTCAGAGCCACTCAGCAAGACTCTGACTACGCTCCCGGGCACAGGAACTGTGATTGTTGATTTAAGCTACAGTGTGACTACTGCACCCTGGAAACAAGACTAAATCACACCCTGGAAAAAAGCAGACTGAACTCTACAGGACAGTGGCAGATGATGCCTTTACTTAAACACTCTATCCTCTGGGAACCCTTTCAAAGTCCTCATCTCTGAGTTATTGACTCTATTTTCTTATATGTCCCCCTATTAGACTAAGGAACTTGAATCATCATCATCATCAAAGATTCCACACAGTGAGCACTTATTATGTACCAGGTACTGTTCTGTGGTCATTAGATACCTATTCATCACAAGAATCTTATGATACAAGCACCATTACTGTCCCCAGTGAGAAAACGGAAGCTCAGAGGAGTCAAGTGACCGGTCAAAGATCTGAGTTACCATGTGGCAGTTCCGGGAAATCTAGCTCCAGAGTCAGATTCGTAACACAGAACGATTTTGTTACACGGCTCCACGGTCTTGCCCAAGTTCACAGACGGTAAGTGGATTCAAACTCAGCTGGCTGAACATCCGACATGACGTTCCTAAACACAACTCGCTCCAGATGCCTTTCGACTCTGGGACAGGAAGGGGTTGAACGTGCCTCACCTGGGCTTCCTCGAGGTCTAGGGGGCTACCCACCTGTGAACACGAGGCTGGCATTTTCCAGTTCTTCTTGGGGAACCTTGAAGCTAAAGGACTCATTGTAGAAAGGATCAATGGTGCCTCTTAAGAAGGATGTCTTCTTGGTTTTCACGAGCTTGAGTCCGTGCACCAGCTGGATTTTCACAAATGGGTCTGAGATTTGGACACAGCACCAGAGAATGTTGAAGACCATGGAAACGAATCCACTCACCCCTCCACTAGGACCACCCCCTCCACCAGTCCAGACCTCTCTTTCATTGATTAATCTCCCGTCCACCCATCTCTTCTATCATCCACGCACCATTTCCCCAACCACTCCTTATCTGCTCATCCTTGTCCTTCATCCCCAGTTATCTAATATTTACCAACCTCCCCCAGGTTTCAGTCACGGAGCTCATTTTAAGGTAAGAAAACTGAGGACTCAGCAGAACAAATGACTTGCTCAAGCTCAGACCAGTAGAGTTAAAACCAGGCTCAGAGGTTACCCTGGATCTTTGTCTGCTGACAAATTTATCACGTCAGGGAGCTCACAGCCCATCCACAGGAGAAAAGAGATTAACGAATTATAAATATCATCCTTCGATCATTTTATAGTTTAGAAAGGGGACTCATGTACATTAACTAATTCAACATTTATTTAAGATCTCAATGCAGTGAGATGAATACTGTTATTATGCCAACTTTTGAGATGGAGACATCAAGGCATTTAGAGAGGTTAAATACCTTCCCCCAAGACCACATCATCTGTAAGCAGCGGAACTGCGATTTGGTTCCAGGAAGTTTGACTCCTGAACCTTTTTACTCATTCATCACACCGTCTCTCTCCCACTGGGATGAGTCTGAAACTCTCCAAACCTCACACCAATTCTTCCACCAGTTCCCTTGAAACCCCCTGTTTTACAATGTGTCTTTTGAGCATGCAGTGTGTCTTCTAGACTCGGTTGTTACCTTATTGCAAATATAATTTATTTTGTTTATTGCATTTAGAGAAAACAATATTTCCACCACTGAACTTAAGAGGTGCCAGGGACCGTGGCTATTTTCACAAGAATACCTTTTGCTGTCATGGGAGAAGCTACATACAAATGTCACAGAACCTGTTCTAGTTCATTAAAAGTCATGTTTGAGTTGGTTTTGCTATAGACACTTAACACGTAGTCCTTTCAATGAACACATATGCCTTTCAAAGCTGGGGTTCATAAAGATTTATGCTACACATGGAATGAGCTGGGGGTGAAAAAAGAAACTACCAGGCTGTGCCCACCATGCTGGTGGATTGGAATACAAAGTCATTACACACTACCGCCACCTAGAGCATGGTGTCTCTATTGCAGGCACAGTTTTGTGAAGGTGAGCAACCTCCTCGGGGCTTCCGTGTGTTCAAAGAAAATCTAGATTTTTCAACAGTGATCACACCTGGTCACAGTCCACTTCCCAGTTCAAACAGGGCTCCCAAGATGGTATCAAGTACCTGCTTCATCCTAAGAGATGTCTGATCATTTATTTTCCTTCTTGAACTAGCATCCTAATTCTGAATGCTATCTGCTCTCCCAAGGCCTTATCAAGAGAACACAGGATGCAGAAAAATCAGGTTCCCCCAAACAAACACAGATGTCCCCTTAAAGAATTTGGGGGAGGAAGGGATCTGAGTGTACCTGAGCCTTGGCTCACATCGGTCTGAAGAAGCTGCTTGGCTCGAATGATGTCCACATTCAGTCTCCCGGCACTCGGGAGGTAATTCAGAGACAGGAGCAGCTCCCCCAGCTCCACTTCATTCTGCAGAGAAAGAAAATGGTGAGAAAGTCGCTTTTTTTTCTTTTCCTCTCTCATTCCGTTTGCACCCACCATGCAAGAGACGGATTCCAGCAGCTTCTAAATGAGTAGCTGTGGGTGGATCCGTTGACAGTGGGTGCCTGTTTCGTTGACTTCTTTTAGATTCTGCCTCCAATTATTTTCTTCAATCCATCACAGAATGTTTTCTTCTGCCCTTAGAGCCCTTAACAGCAGCAACCACAATTTTAACAACAAAAGTTTGGACAGTTTAAAAAATGCAAGATGTCACGTATTAGGCTAAGTGCTCTCTATATGTCATAGCAAATTTAATCTTCATAATGAGTCCCCGAGGAGTTAGTTTATTTACTGACTGAAGAGATGAAGAAATGGAGGCTCAGAGGGGTTAAGTAACATGTCCAAGGCCACACAGCACGAAAGTGGTAGAACTGGCCTTTAGACCCAAGGAAGCTGCGGGACGGTGGGGCACAGGCGAAGGCTGCCATTTTGGCAGGGAGACCAACTCTCTCTGAGAGGTGAGGCTGGGGGACGGCCCCCAATGTCATGAAGGACTGAGACTCGGGAGGCAGGGAGGAGGCTCACCAAGGAATGAACTTGATGTGTTTAAGGGACAGAGGAAAGGCCAGGAAGAGCTGATGCGAGAGACGTCCATCGGAGCCAGAGCAAGCTGCCCAGCGCTGTCCCCATGGGGGCCTGGCCACCCTCACAGGACTCAGGAGGAGGAGGAGAGGCCATCTCCTAGGCCCTCAGCACCTACAGGCCTTTCCTGGATGGACCGGGCAGCTCTCCTTCCTGGGGCCCGAACACCCCATCAGCAAGGCAGCTGCCCACGCGTCCCCAGGGTCTCTGGCAGCCACTAATCTCCTAGAAAGAGTCTCAAATCTTTCTATCGAAGCCCTTTCCTTCCTCCTTCCCCCGTAGGACACAAGCTTCACCCATGCTGTCCCCACCCCGAGCACGGGATGGCGTGTCTTCTGGCCAAGCGTCGGCCTTGATCCTCTCTCTCCTGCAGGATGGGAGCCATCAATTTGCACAAAACCGATGTTTGGAGTCAGGGGACAGCTGTGGAAAATAGAGAGGGCGCTCACTGAGCCCCGTCAGAGGGTTTGCTGATCCGTGTGACCAACATTCATTCCATAACCTAGGTCGACAAGACGTGGCCCCTGGGGCGAGCGCGGGGAACATGGGAAACAGCCACAGTTCCAGAGGTGGCACCCCCATTAGAAAGGCCACAACAAACAAATCAGTAATTACACAAAAGCAGAAAGTGGCAGGTGTGGGCAAGGTGGTAACTCTGCTGGTAACAATGCGACACGGTGCGGCCACTGTGGTCAGCCACTGTGGCAGCTCCCGCAAGGGTTGCACACAGAGCTCCCACGCGGGCCAGCAATTCTACTCACAGGTAATCCCCCCCCCAGAGCAGAAAACACGCAGCCGCACCAAAACCTGCTCCCCAACGTTCACAACAGCCCCAAGGGGGAGAGGCCCAGTGTCCACCATCGGGAAAAACAACTTATGGTCCATCCAGGTGACGGGTGCTCTTCAGATACGACAAGGGACGATGCGCTGACAGGTGCTACAATGTGGGTGAACCTCGAGATCATGCTCAGTCCAAGAAGCCAGACACAAAAGATCACATTTGGTAGGACTCCATCCAGACCGTGAAACCCACAGGGACAGGAAGCAGACTGAGCAGCTGCTGGGACCTGGGAGCAGTGGGCACGGCAGTGTGACTGCTTCACGGGCACAGGGTCTCCTTTGGTGATAGAATGTTCTGGAATTTGAGGTGATGGCGGCACACCACTGGGTGTGGACTCAATGTCGCTGAATCACATACTTTGAAATGGCTGAATTTATGTTTATATGAATTTCACCTCAATTAAAAAAAAAATTATAGGGCTTATGTGTTAACAGGCCATAGGAACCAGACCCAGGAAGACTGAAGTACAGCCTATTCCCCGCAGGGGCGGGGACAGAAAGGGCTTCATGCAGAAGGAGACACTTGGGCTAGGCCTTGAAAGGTACATAGGATTTGATCCGGTTTATTCTATTGCTGAGAAATGTTACAGCAAAGGCCATCCATGCAAATTCTGCTCCTGAACTTCCCGATCTCACCACATAAAACCCCAAGTGACTTGTATTTATAATAAAGTAGCCAACAATGCTTGATAACTTAAGATTTTAAGATAAATTAGGAATCTCCTTACAAATAACATCACCCCACTTTGCATTCCCGGTTAGTGTGGGTAAGCGGGAAAGAATGCTGGCTTCCCCTTAGGCAGAACAGGTGTGTGCTCTGGACCCCCCAGAAGCAGGTAAGGTCCTCCACCTCCACTTCAAATATCAGAAATATATTTGAGAGGGAAAACAGTGGATATTTCAGTAATAACAATGAGGAATCATTGAGACACGAGGACCTTGCTGAGACTGACAGTTAGAACTGTTACTATTTTGAATGGCATAAGGTAGGAATTGGGGCCTCAAGGTCTTTATTTTAACCCAGACCTGGAGAAAGTGCAGAGTCCCCCACTTTAACATCTGCCCCAGAAGGTGCAGCACAGAGTATCAGCAGCAGCCCACGTGGGCATCAGAAACTGTAGCTCCTCCATGCCTAGCACGCTTGAGGCCCTGGGTTCCTTCCCCGGCACCTTAGAAACAAAACCAAAAGCCAAAACCAACTGCAGTTCTAAAAACCAGAAGGCAAAAATGTGCCCCCAAGGTTTCCTGGAGCCAGAGTCTTTCTTAATTCCTCTTCCCCTGCGGAAGTATCTGATACTACATTTAAAAGCTGACCAGTAGCCAGTGGATAAAGAACTTCAAACGTGGGAACTGAAAGCAGGGCCACCTCATTCAGAAGCTCCCCAACCCATTGCCCCCAAGACAGATCGTGGAGTTAATGGTGCTCTTTGCAGATGCCCATAAAGTACTGGTGGATAAAACTGCACCAACTTGGGGTGATTTTGCCCTTTCCGCATCTCCTTCAGGGATGTTTGACAATGTCACCACAGTTTTGATGGTCACAACTTGGGATAAGGATGCCACTGGCATCTGGTCTGGTGGGAAGACGTCAAGGATACTGCTACACATCCTACAAGGTGCAGACAGCTCCCTCTTGCTTCAATGAAGAATGATCTGACCGCAAATATTCGTAGGGCCTGGGTTGAGAAATCCTGAACCAAACCCATGAATCCTGGGCTCCTTCAGGTTTCTCTCTTGGACACAACTCTGGCCAAGCCAATTGTTAACAGGAACCAGACTTGAACTCTTCTGCAATCAATTTCAGAAAAGACCGTTCCCTGCCTCAGTGGAACTTGTTCTGAACCTTCTTCAGACCCCAAGAGGCCAAAGCACCAGCTCCCAGCCAGAATCTCGAAAGGCTGAGCTAAGGTTCCCCTCCTTCCGCTTCCTTCCCATAGGATAATCCTCCCAGGAAGTGGCCACGCCGTCCCAAGGAGAGTGGATGCTTGTTCTGGAAGGATCTCGTTCCTCAAGTCCCCCTCCCCTTAACCAAACTTAGTACAATAATGTTGGATGCCGGAGCTGAAATGATTCAGCGGCACACTCTATAAAAGAAAACAGAACCATGCCATTCGCTCTTCTCCCTCTTTAAAATCCTCCATCGCTCTTAAAATCTAGAACTCTCGGCCTGGTCTGCAGCGGGATCTGTCCCCTCGGCACTTCTGACACTTGCAAGGCGTCCTTCTTCACCGTGGAGGGCTGTCCTGTGCACTGAAGGACATTAAATAGGTCCCCAGCCTCCACCAACTGGAAGCCAGTGGCATCCCCTCCCCACTCCTGTGACAACACCAAATGTCTCCGGGCATTGCAATGTCCCCTGAGGGCAAAATCACCCCGCTGAGAACTACCCATCAGAAGGACCTAAACGAGTTGGCAGAACCCATCCACGTTTTCCTTCTGTTTTTTGAAAACACAAGATTACTCCAAGGCTTGCTCCTGCTGCTTCCTGGGAATCTCAGGTCAAATGTCACCTTCTCATCTAAGCTTTCCGTGGCCATCCCACTACAAACAGCCCCCTGGGTCTATCACACCACTTTATTTCCTTCATGATACTTTGTTCTTTCCTGATATTTTCTTGCTCTCCCTAAAGGCCAGGACGGCGCCCATCTGCCTGCTACTGTAGATGATCCAACTTGTGATGGTTCGACTTATGATCTATTTCCACTTTACAGTGACATGAAAGGAATCGCCACTCAGTAGAAACCATCCTTTGACTTTTGATCTTTCCCTGGCCTAGTGATATGTGGTCTTGCAATGCTCAGGCCGTGGCAGTGAGCTCAGCTCCCCATAAGTTACATGATCAAAGGAGAAACGAGGAGTGTGCTGTGTTGCTGAATTGGGATGTTTGGCAGGTTAAGTGGTGCAATGGTCAGCTTTCCCTCACTGTAACAACATACCTGAGATAATCAACTTATAAAGAAGAAAGGTTTATTTTGGTTCACAGTTTCAGAACTTTCAGTCCATGATCTGTTGGCTCCTTTGCTTTGGGGCTGTGGTGAGGCAGCACATCATGGTGGGAGTGCATGGTGGAGCAAACCCATTCACTTCATGGCCAGGAGGTGAAGGAGAGGAAGAGGAAGGGGTTAGGGTCTCATTCTCCCTTTCAATGGCACACCTCCAATGACCTGAAGACTTCCTAGTCCCCAGCTCTTAAAGGCTCTGCCATTCCCCAACAGTGCCACTCAGGGGAACAAGTCTTCATTACATGGACCTTTGGAGACACTTAAGATCCCAATTATAGAAGACAGAATAAATCCTTTTTTTTTTTTTTTACTGGGATTGAACTCAGGGGCACTCGCCCACTGAGCCATGTTCAAAGCCCTATTTTATATTTTATTTAGAGGCAGGATCTCACTGAGTTGCTTAGTGCCTCGCTGTTGCTGAGGCTGGCTTTGAACTCGCCATCCTCCTGCCTCAGCCTCCCAAGCCTCTGGGGTTGCAGGTGTGCGCCACCATTTTTGACTTAG